TTAAGCTGTGATGTCTGGATTGAGTATTGTTTGTGTTCAGCACTTATTGAAGTTATTTGGTGCGGTGGCAGTTGTGCGCAGTCCTGCTGCCACACGTTGTGAGCCCTGGGCTGAGGCAGATTACAGAGTGAATGGGATGGATTGAAAACGCACAGACGCCCCTCTGAGTCACACTGTAGGAATGTGATGAACCTGCAATGTGATTATTGCTTCAGGGCACACAACAGCATATGCATGTAGGGGCACACACACGCACATACCCAGACGCCAATACAATCCTTGAGTGACAGAAACAGTTGGATGCAGGCTACGCGCACTTTCCTTTAAAAAAGGTTAAAAAGTGCTAACTGCACCAAATTCTGAACACATGTCCTGAATAATTGGTGAGGGGGGTACAGTTTGAGGTCACACCTGTCAGTCAAACACAAAAGGCCGGTCTATACTCTCTCGCAGCTGACACAGACACATGGCCCTGTACGTATATGTATAGGCCCGATGAGAACAGGTGGAATGAGACAGACGAACAACACATGTACTGAATCCAGACCGTTTCTCCACATAGACACACCCTAAAAAGGACAAATTACAGACAGAGCACATGCATGTTTCATGTGGCTCCTCCTCACTGAGATGTAAACATGTGCTCATATACTTCACATTCCTCACACACGCACACGCGCACACACACACACACACACACACACACACACACACACACACACATCACCCCTTTTAAATGCTGGTCCAATATCTGTCCCTTTAGCGGCGTAAAAGCCATATACGGTAGTTAAAAAGCCACAGCCGTTTTGTCTGGCTCAGCAGTGTGAAGTGCCGTTCAGTCATAAAGGAAGATTCTTTGTTATGGCTCGACTGTCTGCTCCAGTTCCAGATTCAAAGCTTTGTGCTTTACTGCTGTTTTTTTTCCTTATGGAGCAGAGTCACGCCCCTCCTCACCATCTACTGGCTGAGCCCAGCTGGGAGCTCAATTTTCATTGGCTGGAAGGCACACCGGGGAGGATTTGAGGGCTTCTCCTTTGTTTACATGCTAGTAGAGAACCCCCCCCCCCAATAACAACTGTTACCTTGGGCAACCAAGCAATCTACAGTTAGCCAGACAGACAGACACACAGGGGTGCAAGCTGATCGTGCACACACACACACACACACACACACACACACACACACACACACACACACACACACACACGGATAATGAGTTAATCAGGTGTCCAAAAACAGGCCAAATGAGGAGCCTTTGTTCTCTCTGAATCCATGCTTTATGCTAGAGATGACACAAAATATAGGTATGCACATTCATATTTTTAGGCATGACAGTAGGCAATCATGTGGTTTCATTGTCTGATGAAACTTTCCAGAGCCTGTATGGGTATACATATAAACAGAAAGAAGTGACTCTTTTCTTCAGTGGGCATATGTTCCTGTTTGTGTTCATATTAAGACAGGATCATATATCTTGATACTGACTTAGAACGAGCTTAATCCAATTCATGCAGCTCAGGCTCCAGATCTCTCTATACTTCAACCTAACAAGCTGCAAGGAGGAAGGCATTTAGAGTCTGCGTGCGTGTCATCCTTTCTCCAAGACTACGCAAAGTGGTCAGCACAGTAATGGTGCTTTATTGTGATTGAAGCTCCAGCATAACAGGAGGAAAATCAATGGGATTCTTTGAGAAGCTGAGTCTATGTAGGTGCATGTGTGTCTCTGTTTTAGTCTCTGGTACGCAGATATATCTTATCTCTCTTTTACAAGTAAATCAACAATGAAGTCACGATGCTGCTCGCACGAAGTAAGTCAAGCCTCTACATGTCTGACTTTCATATGCATTTACCCCCACCCCCACCCCCCACCGCACCCACACACTCCCCCACCATCCGTCTGACACCAGCTCTCTATAAGGAAACCCAATATCTTAATCGTGACATCATAATCTAAAACCATGGCAACAAAACTACCGCACAGTGTAAACAGATCCTTTGTCCTGTTGTACGTTTCTGTGATTACATGACTTGTGTTTGCAGATGTTAGCTGTAGCACAGAGAGAAATGTGTGTCTAGCATTAGGTATCGAAATACCAAGTCAAGGGCCGATAGAATCAAATGCTTTGCCGGGTTTTTATGGTTTCCTTTCAGGACACTTTTTAGCTGAGGTGGCAAATCACACAGATCCTCATGTTCCTCTTGTTTCATGATCATTTTAGGTAGGATCTGACAGTTTAAACAAGTAATAGCTACCCACTCAATAAACATATGGCATTTGCTGTCCTAAATGTTATTGTTTTATTTCATAAAAGTGTACTTTTTCCACATGATGTTAGTGGAGCTGTGACATTTTACATAATGACAATAATAAACAATGAGTATCTTCAATTATAAACTAAAATTTGAAGAAAAGTAACTAAAATTAGTCAAATTCTCCAAGACTTTGTTGCACAACTTTCCTATTATGGTTTCAACAGGTTGTACCACGGGAAATTGTAAAACAGAGGTGGTACGCCACCCAGATTCTACACATCCCGCCCTGTGATCAGTTTAGTTAGTAGATGACGGCCTAAACAATAGCACACACAAACTGTGTGTGGCCTAAAACTCTCTGAAGATTCATATTTTATTTCATAAAAGTATATTAATATGATGATGATTTTTGATAATCATTTCAGTCAGATATTTCCTACATTAAATCACTTTTCCAATACGATTTGGAAAAGTCCTGGTTTGGCTTGTATGGCTGTTTGTGTGAGGAAAACATTGAAAACTGCTGTATTTGAGACATTTTGCTTTTTTTGTTAAATCTAAAACAAATGGTTCAGAAAAAAACATTATATTCCTCAAAGTAAGGTTTTGGGGGAAAAAAGTATTGTTTTGGCATCAGTATCCAAAAACAAGTATTGCAGTGACAAATTTGTAAAATTTATAACAATACCCAGGCCTTGGCTCACAATTATAGATCACGGAAAAGGGAACAAAACACCGCACAAATCAAAGTCTCCCTGCAGGCTGGAACTGGACAGAGCGGAGACGTGTTTGGTAAAACCTTTGGGACTCCTCTCTCAGTACAAAGACCCTCTGAACGCTCACTCTTTGTTTACAAGGCTTATTACAGGGGAGCTGGACTTAAAAAACATTTGATACAAGGTAGTCTTTCACCACCAGTGAACGTGTCTGAAGAACTAGTAACAGAGCCTAATCACAAAGCACGCAAACACAGTAACACTGTGTCTCGTGTGGTGTGCGGTGCCTAAGGATCAGTGCGTTCTGCTGAGTAATGAAGATTTTGTGTCCACAGACAGAGCAGCAGGACTGTGGGAGATAATACTGTCAACACACATGTGGTCGCCAGTTACCCCTCCTGAGCACACACCCATTCCTGACCCAAATACCTTGATTTTCTTGAGGTCAGGTTGAGTTCTTGACATGGATTCTATAATGATACATCTGAACCACTAATGGACACGTGCCATTATAGGATGGAAACTCATTTCATTCACATATTTAAATTCCTCTGAGTGCAGTAATAATGGAGCATTCCAGTTTTAACACCCACCACACACACACACACACACACACACACATATATACACACACACACAAAGACAGTGACAGCATCAGCCCTTACGGGAAACAGAAGACAGCAAGAGTAAGAGAAACAGGAGAGAGAGGAGGGAAAGAGGGGGTTCAAAGATCAGAAAACAGATGTAAATCGTTTAGCAAACTCCCCTCCAAATGACTAACACATGTGCGAGAAACTTTCCCCTGCTTACACACACACACACACACACACACACTCGCAACACCGACACTCTTGAAAGCTCTGCACCTAGAAAGTATAACATACCCATTCATACCACCTGCTTTTGTCACTAGAACACATCTGATGAACTAGAGTTAAACCACTTCCCCGGTTAGTTGTATTTGCCAGGGTACTATTCTGCCTCCACCCAGCAAACACCACTCACTCACTCAATCCTCTGGCTAGAGCTGGGTTCAACCCTGTTTGTTTAACGTCTTGTTAAAGTTTGAAAGCAGCTCTTTGAAACAAACTCTAAGCCAGAGTGAAATAGAAATGCCATACGTTTGCAGACCCCGTCGCCCAATCAAAAAAAAACACACCTCTTTACATGACAGTTGGTCTGTGTGCCTGTCTGATGACAGCACAGGCCAGTGTGTGTCAGCTCTGACTGAAGCCATGTGCTTTGACACAGAAGGCAGTAGTCATTGCTGTGCTATTACACACACAGTCTTACTCACACATGATGATTTCAGACAGGGCTCACCAATATGGTCTTTTTTTAGGGCTGTTTGCCTCACCAACGGGCCTCATTTTAAGGGTAAATATTACATGACTATTTGTAGGCTGGTGACAAATAAGAAAAACATAGCAGACATACAGTCAGTCTTGTGTTGTAGAGCTTGTAAAGTGCTCTGAGACAAACCACAACATGTGATTTCAAATATGGATAGATTAATAACCCTGACATGGATCAAACACAAGACTGATTCTGTATCTTAGAAGAATTGTGTACAGATATCAGTCAACTGTAACACAACATCTTCTCTGAATTGCCACAGACACACCAGAAATAACAAACGCGTTATTTTTTTCCTTCTACCATTCTTCTCCCAGAGTACAAAGTATCAGCTGCCATGAATACTATCAGTAAGTAAATGTAACTGTAGTCTGTACATGCTGTACAACAACCTCAACGTGTTTGTTCTCCACTGTCCCGTCGGCTACAGTCAAGCGCTGCAACAAAAGGAGACAATGAAACAAGAGTTTGTGTTTTGCAATCTCATTCTCTCTCTCTCCACGGTCTTTTCTTACCCACCTCACTTTCCAGTTTTTTACCCTAAAACCTGCTGGGTTTTTTTTTCCCCGACGGGAGCAGACAGACAGTTCAAACGTGCTGCTTTTGTTAGTGTGCTCGTGAAACACCCTCACGAAAAACGCACGAGCTCCAGACACACACACACACATTACACACCTACCTCAAAGTCGACCCCGACGCGACTTCTCTCTCCAACTCAAGTTGTTTTTAATATTTAAAAATGACAAAGTGGTTCGGGGGACACACGAGCGCCTCTCCGGTTCACTTCTTGGGGTTTGAGGTGTGTCCGCGCGACTCTGCTTTAGTTTACTGTTCAATAGCTCACATACACTCAAGGACCCATAGAAAATGTAAATTTAAGCTGGGTGGGAGGGGTGGGCTGACGTCACGCTCGGGCTCCTCCCCCTCTGTCTTCATCTGCTCGCTGAGAGTGGACGAGTGGGGGGACTCCTCGAGCTCAGGGTGGGCGTGGATCGAGTGCGCACGCGCACACAAATGGACAGGAGGTTTTACAGTGTTGTCACTGGTGTTCATATGACTTAATGTATGTTAATGTATTTTCATTATTTCCAGTCATATTACAACATCATTTAAAAAAAAAAAAGTTCTGACTGCCTCTATGATTTCTTTGACATGTGGTTTAAGCTGAATTATATTTTAACATTAGTTTTTTAACCCATTAACTCACACACATCCCCCCTTTTTCCTTACCATTAAACCATTAAAACATACCTGTGAAGATTATGTTCCATTTCTGCCAATAGATCCTCCTAAACGTTACACACTGTACCTTCAAAGCAGCACTATCAATATTTTAATATCAACAATGGAATGAAATGGCTAAGTGTAATGTGAAAGTGCTTTCACTTAGTGGCAAACCCACAGATAATTATCACCTAGCTGCTGTTCACTTCGGTAATACAGAGGTTTTAACATCTTTTCAGCTCATTGTTTTCGCTTTCACGGCCCAGAACTTTACTGTTTAGGTTCTCATTGCTCGCATGACCCCTCGTTTCCTGCTGCAGCTGTTGTTAGTCAAACTGCTCTGATAAACTAAACTAATAAACTGTATGCCCAACATCAATTAGCAGGCAGTCAAAATTAGCAACTAGCCGGTGAACATCGTGAAGCATTAAGCAGCTGAAGAAAGGCTATTTCCCTCCAGAGTTGATGGAGACGTTTGTTTTTCTTTGAGAACTTGAGGGTGAAGTTTTCATTATTCCCACTGTAGATCTTTTTATCATTCATCACCTTGATTACAACAGATCAGTCTGCTGCCTGTTATTGTTTCAGACTGAATATCCTGAGCATCCTTTGTGATAAAGAGTAATCTGCTTACTGATGAAGGGTCAGTGGATCTGCTTATCCACCATCCTTCTGTTAAGTCGGCTCACTGAAACCCCTAGTTTCATGGTGATCTGTTGGTTTATGTCGCCCCGCTTAATTCAGGGGGCACATTTTCTTGACAACATCTCATTGGGTCCGATATCTGTGTTGGATAAAGATCTAAGTTGCTGTACGACTACCAGAGTAGGCTTACTGGAAATGACAAAAAGAACAGAAAACAGCCCAAGGGTTGGGTTTGAATTCTAAACATGTGAGAGGTGGGGACTCAGAGAAGTAAAAGATTCCTAAGGACCTTCTCATAATTTAGGAGAGGGGTGACTAAGAGTGTTGATGTGAACAATAGGATGAGTCATGAGAGGGGTCGCCTCTGACAGAGAGGACACTCCCTCCAGAGACCACTACGCTCAGGGCTCCCACCATGCAGGAAACAGATGTGTATGCAGTGTATGTGCATGCATGGGGTTGTGTGTAAGCAAAACCTGTATGAAAAATCAAAAGTTTAACTATCACTACTATACCACCAGAACTGTATAAACCCCACCATGCTATTTCACAGATATTTCTATTTCTTAAAGGAATAGATTTTTTAATTTTGTTGGGACTATTTCTTGGCTGGGACCAATTGCCAGGCAACTGCTAGACTTACTGAATTACTGTTTCCAGCTAAGAAATAGTCCTATATGTACATACATTTCCCAAAATATCTTTAACTACAGTATTCTTTAAACTTTTTACCTCATTTAAAAATTATAAACAGACCATACCTTATCTGTTTCTAACACTTTCAATTCTAGTTACACACAGGCCATTTTAGATTCAAAACCTTAACCACTATAGGAAGAAAGTACTTCCTCACTGCTATGGAAAAAGTGTATGTGTTACTGCAACTTCTGTAGTGATCAGCACCTGTCAGCAACTTCCGTTTCGGATGGTTGTTATAAACCACAACTTATGAGTTCAGTATGGACAGTTACATTTATGAGACACGCCCGAATAGCGGTTGAACAAGTGAAAACCCCTTTTTACTGCTCGAGAAAAGACACCAAATTCCACTTAAAACCACTGCGCGCTTTAACCTGATTACCTACATTTTTTGTTATGTGTGTACACAATGTCATGCCTGCTCAAAACATCAATATGTCTCTTGACTGACTTCCAGTATGGACACATGTCAGCATACATAGACACAGTCCATAATTCTGAATATATGATTGACTGTAAATAAAGGCTGATTTGGACACTGAAGGTCATGTAGTTACCTCTTCCTGTGTGTAAATTGGGGGGTTTCCTCACTCAGTGTCACTGCCTGGAACTGCCCCCCTTCTTTATCTCACACTGCTGCTATCTGAAGTCTAATTTCTGGGACAGATGTTTCTGTTACTATCCCAGGGTTTCCCAAATTTCTTGTGTGAACATGTGTTTACATGAGGCCTCTTGTTTTTTCTTTGTCAGGTCTCCAAGGGCCTCCACTTTAAACAGGATATGGCAGTTATCTGAAAACCATGGTGACAGAGAAATCTTCCTGTAAGCAAGGGCCGGTCTTAAAACTGATAATAGTGAATCTCTTTTAGCAAAGGTCTAAAGGAATATTCTGTGCGCAAAACACCATTTTTGTACACATTTGTTGCTCATTGGTGAAGTAAAATGACACAAAATGGGATTTGAACATGCAGAAGAAAGTAAGTTATTCATATCTGTTGTGAGGAGCGTATTAACATCACACCAGTACAGGAAAGGAGTAGATGGTAAATAACTACGTGTAATTGTAGTGTACATAAACACCACCCTGTGTGTGTGACCTACTTCTGACTGACTGGGGGTTTACACTAGTGGTACACCCACCATATGCTGAAGCGGTGTATGTTCAAGGGGCCGTCGGTTAAATCTGAGATACTTGTTGAAGTCGTCAGTCCTTCACTGTTAACATTAAGCCATCATTTTCTTCTTTTTCTCATTTGTCCCAAACCGACTTAATGCATTCTTTCCACTCTGTTTTCTCCCTCATGTCTGACCCAGCAACTGTTTAGGGCATATAACCTCAGTGCACTGGTGGAGAAACCACAAGATAAAACTCTGTACTGAAGTAATATTCCACATTTATGTGTGTTATGTGTTTTGGAAGAAATGGCCAATTAGGTCCCTGTAAGTGACTTTGTGAGTTGTGTATCTTTGTGCTCGCACGTATTGCAAAGAGGGTGTGCACAGGCTGTTTGTGTAGCTTTAATAACGCGGGGTGATATTTTAATAAAATTTGGGTGACACTCCCACTGTCAGCCTGACTGTCTCTGAGATGTGTTCACCAGTTCTAACGTAATGCATTCAGCTTCTCCCTCTTCTCCCTGCGAGTGTTCAGCCAAAGTTCAGCTAATTCAATCACTGGTGGATGACTCACACCACAGTGTCCCTTTCTGCACAGATGCACAGACACACGCACAGACACAGACACAGACACACACACATATATACACACACACATGCACCATGGAGCCTGGCTGGACGAGGTTTGTGAAGTCAGTGCTGCGTCAGCCTCTCAGCACACTTGTGAAATGATCTCTTGTTCCCTAGCTTCATTACACACTCAAACTCTCCATTTCTCTGTTTTGTATCATCTGATGCACCGTCATGCTTTGTCATTCACTGTTTTCTTGTCTGTATTCACTATTACTTCTCAGAGTTCTCTCTTTAATACCACCCCAGCATGTCCCGTGTCATGAATATATTCATCAGAGAGACATAAAATGCTGTCTGGAGGAACAATAATTCATATGACAAATGCATCTTACATTGTCAGGGCTGCCTCTCTGGTCCACTGTTGTTTACTTAGTCAGAGATGACATTAGAAAGGTAGTAATAGTAGTAGATACTTCTTACTTTTTCAGTTTAATATCTTTTCCTCTTGTCTATCACCTCACATTCCTACCAGCCGTATAAGGTGATTTTGACCACAAATGTATTCCATTCAAATGAAAAACACTCAAGTGTAACAGATGAGCAAATGACTGACTGCACTCCATTTCCTGCATTTGCATGCCCGCGTGTGTGTATGTGTTTGCATGTGTTTGAATGTCATGCATGTGCTCACATGCAAAAAGATCAAGATACAGTAATTTAACTGCAGTCCTTGGATGTTGTCGCTGAGGCTGTTATTACTGGTCAAGCCACCCAGATTTATTGAGCTTTACTGTACAGAGCCTTTCCACTTAGCCTAATGACTGCCAACAGGAATGAGAGCAGATGGCTATGTAACAGTACAGTGAGGGTGAACAGTGCTCATGTCTATTTTATCACGCAGACCACGACACAGTATGTTTACGTATGTCTGGGATAAAAATCTTTGCTGGACACTTTGATACATCACACACATTCAACCGAAAAGAAGTACTTAGATTTTTTTTCTTGGATCCCCTATTATTACTCCCCATACAAATACAGACATATAAAGCTGTTTTTGTACTTGGCCATGTGCACACATACAATACAAACAAACTCAAATACTCCTTCACAGAGCTGACAAAAGTTAACAGGTTATGTGGATCTTTGAATGGCAATCATACTAGTTAATCATAAACGGTGTAGAAAAACAAAACACACACAAAGAATTAAGATGGAATGTGGGAGGTGAGCTGGGTAAAGCCTTACAGGACAGACAGTCAACATAACAGGGAACCATGTATCTGTCCCTCCCTCTGTCCGTCCACTTGTCTCTCTGTCTGCGTGTTTGTGTGAATAAGCTGAATAAGCATTTCCAACACGGAGAGCAGGAAGGCCCTTCCAACAACACGCACACACCGTGACCACAGGAAATCAAGGTCACTGTGACAATTGGGTGCACATGTGTGTGTGTGTGTGTGTGTGTGTGTTTGTGAGAGAATGAGACAGAGGAGGTTCTGTACTTACATTACCCCCTGGTGCATCATAATCTCTCAAACAAGAAGTGTGCTTGTATTGTTTAAATTTCTCTCATTGGAATAAACCTCAATTGTCA